TTAACCAGTCTTCTATATGGACATTTGGGTTGCTTTTTGATCTTATCCTTTGCAAACAAGTTTACAGTGGAAACCCTTCAGTTAATGTCACTGAATTCCCATGTAGGGTTCACAATAGGGTAAATTCTTGCTGACCAGCTATAAATTCACCAGTTGATGCTAGGGTGTGTTAGAGAAGGCTTATCATAAAGCTTTTATTGTTTTTAAACGTCAGTTAAAGTTCTGCAGACGGACATGACCAGAATTGTTTTAAATGTTTGGATGAGATTCTTGGTGGGTAGCATGGAAAATTGTATCATGATGTACAGGTCAGACAATTCCAGTCACTACCTGAGGCAGAGTGGCGCTGTGTTCTAGGGATGGCGTTTGAGGTCTTCATGGCTGGATAAGTAAGGGCGCACGCTGATACGAGGGGCTCCCCTCTTGAAATGCCAGTTCTCCAGCCATTAAGAAAGCCAGAGAGGAGGACAGCTTTTCCTGAAATGCAGGTGCCACCCTCCTCCGCTTCCCTTGTTAGAGTCAATGCCTCAGTTCTGCAGCTGCAGGTGAAACAGTGACCAGGCAAAGCACAGATGAAAAGCAGCTAAGCACCAAGAGCCTTGCATGACTGGGGTGCAGTCAGACTCGGGCACTTGATGCTTTCCAGGGTGTACCGTAACAAACACTACTTACTGTTCATTCCAGTGTGACCTTAGCAGGATTCCTACTACAGTGTTGGGTCCTAGAGAACTTTCTAAACTTTCAGAGTATACCTGTCCTGACACTGTTAACAGTTCCAAAATATGGAGAAGAGGACTTTTATAAATACAGATGCCACTTTGTTACGAAAAGCCAAAGCAACCAAAATATAATAAAGGAAATGTATAGTCCCCAGTCTCACTTGTGGACCTAAGCCATCCGAATCCTCAGCAGCAAACTAGGGAACAGCTTACACTGTTGGACTGACATACCTGAAAAAATTAAGTTTGTTTTGGGGGATGGGGTGGGGTTGTGAAATGGGTCAACAGGGTCAAAAGGTACAAACTTCCAGTTATAAAATAAATAGGTCATGGGGATGTAACGTACAGCACAGGACTAGAGTTGATAATACTGTATTGTGTATTTGAAACTTGTTAAGAGAGTAGAATTTAAAGTTCTCACAAGAAAAAAAAGGTAGCTATGTCTGGTAACATGTTAACTAGACTGTTAGGGTGACCATTTCCCAGTATATACAAACAGTGAATCATTACCTTACACATCTGAAACTAATATATTAAATGTCACTTTTACCTCAGAAAAAAGGGGGGGGGATTACATTTCCGATGATTAAAAAAAGTTTTTTAATTAAAACAAAAGAATAGGTCTTAAGAATTTTAAGCCACTATGGCTTAAGAAAGCCTTTAACAAAATGGATCGGGTGGGAGGATGGGTTAGCCCGGTGGTGGGTATTGAGGAGGGCACGTTCTGCATGGAGCGCTGGGTGTTATGCACAAACAATGAATCATGGAACACTTCATCTAAAACTAATGATGTAATGTATGGTGTAATATATGGTGATTAACATAACAATAAAAAACCTGGAAAAAAAACAAAACAAAAAGGATCAAATTAAATAGAAGCTAGTAAAAACCATGATGATTTCAGAGCCTAATATGGAATCAGCAAATCCAACTTGTATTTCCTGAACACTTCAGAAACAGTGTGGACAGATTCTTAACATGATGTAGAGGTATTATTTTAAAATCTATATACATTGAGAAACATAGTTAATCTTAAGCCAAGATAAAAGTAAAGCTATCTACTTTAAAATAATGTTAGTAATGGAATTGACCATTTAATAAGAAAAAAAGATAATATCAAGTAATTTATCCAAACAATATTACTAGCAAATACTTTATAGTAAATTGTAAAAATGTAATACAGTGAAAGAAATTTAGTTTATACAAAGAAACCAAACGTAATATATAGCTATTGACTCACTTTGGAATAAGAAATAATTTGAAGGAAAAATATAAAATCTGGTGCTACAAAAGGAGTACCTATATTTTGAACCTGAAGGCGGAAAAACAATGTTTAATACATTTATCTCCCTATGAAATAATGTACTAGAACTTGACTAGTGAATTTCATCTGGAAGTCTCAGTAGGCAAGAATTTTTTTTTTTTTAAAGATTTTTTTATTTATTTATTCATGAGAGACAGAGAGAGAGAGAGAGAGAGAGAGAGGCAGAGGGAGAAGCAGGCTCCCAAGGAGCAGAGAGCCCGATGCGGGACTTGATCCCAGGACCCTGAGATCATGACCTGAGCCGAAGGCAGACGCTTAACCATCTGAGCCACCCAGGCGCCCCAGTAGGCAAGAATTTTAAAGAATGTTTTCTTCAAAAATGTTAATATAAAGTACTTATATCTCAGATTTTGTAAATAATTATAACCTAACAGTTTTAAAACTCTGATACTGTGTTAAATAATAAAGTTAATTAGCATAGAAATTCTAGAAAGAGAATCAAACATTGTTAAGGGATTCAAGGAATGATAAACTCAAAGCAATCTATCAATAAATAAATGATTATTTCAGTTAAGTATTGGTAGGACATACAGCAATGATGTCAGGAGAATGCATTTATATCTGCAGTATGTTACAGGAAATTCTAGATGGTCAAAGAGTTAAAAGCTGTTTTTGGATGTTCTGTTTGTATAAAATCATATAAAACTATAAACATATAAGTTTGTACAAACATATAAAACACAGATGTTTATCTACATGTAGGTTTATTGAAAGGAAGAGTTACCAAATAACAGGCTTGGTATAATAAAGTAACATTTTATTACAATTACTGCATAAATGATTGTTTTTAGTTTTATATTAGATCACCCCATCTCCACTTTCCAAGGTGGGTGACAACGGTAGAGAATGGGTGTTGGAGGCCTAAGTTCTGACTTTGAATCTGTCCCATAGATGCCATCCCACATGGGCAAGGTCCTTCCCACCCTGGAACCTCGCTTTCCCTATGGAGAGTTACTGAGTGGATGAAAGAGGGGAAAAATGAGAACTATGTAATTATTATAATGTTACATGAGAAATAGAACTCCTAAGAACCTTTTAGGAAATGACATGAAATAAAGGAATACTAATTTCAGATACTTTGACAAACTGTAAAATATTTAGATTATTTTTCATTAATTAGTTCATTAATATGTGACTCCATAAAGTTCTCTCTTCAGGACTTTAATATTAGGACTGTGAACTTGGTTGCTTTCTTCATATGCTTTGGAAATGGCAGTTAGTACTAAACAGCTATTAATGATTAGTAAGGAAGACTAATGGACAAATACTTTCCCCTTCTCAAAGTATTTTTATTTTTATTTTTTTTAAGATTTTATTTATTTATTTGACAGAGAGACACAGTGAGAGAGGGAACACAAGCAGGGGGAGTGGGAGAGGGAGAAGCAGGCTTCCTGCTGAGCAGGGAGCCCGATGCGGGGCTCGATCCCAGGACCCTGGGAGCCAAAGGCAGACGCTTAATGACTGAGCCACCCAGGCACCCCAATTGAAGTATTTTTTTTTTTAAAGATTTTATTTATTTATTCATAAGAGAGGCAGAGGGAGAAGTAGGCTCCCTACTGAGCAGGGAGCCCGATGCGGGACTCGATCCCAGGACCCTGGTATCATGACCTGAGCCCAAGGCAGACGCTTAACCATCTGAGCCACCCAGGCACCCCCGACTGAAGTATTTTTAAAACACAAAAGATACTTTAGTCATTTTAGAACAGTGAATTATCAAGTATTAATACAAATATGAATTGTTTAACCATAGAAAGTACCATAGAAAATGAGAGCCTTCTCCCCCCCCACCCCCCACCCCCTTCTTTATTTTAAAGAATATATTGAGTGTTTTTTGTCATTGGTTCTTGGAGCATGAATACTGAGGTTTATTTTCCTTCAAGAAATTACTTTAGTTTTCCTCCCCCTGAAAAATTGGAGAAAATAATTTCTGTCTGTAAAATTTTCTTAGGTTGGTTTTTTATCACAGAATGTGAATGTCGTAGGGAATGCCTCTGAAAACAAGGGAACTTTTTTTTTCCCTTAGTTTCTTGTGTCTTTTTTTTTTTTTTTCATGTTTTGTTTTGATTACTTGGCCTACTTACTTCAAGAAGCTAAGCAGCTTGTTTTGTGTTCTTCCAATTCTGTTTGATATTTAAAGTGACTGAGGCATTTGGAATCGTTCCAACACTGAACAGTTTTTCATTTAAAATAGAGTAATTCCCAGGACACCGTGGCATAGATAGTGAATAATCACTTAGCACAGCATCTTAGTTGGATTTGGAGTATTAGCATGAGCTTAAAAAAAAAACAAAACCATAGGCCATTATTAGTACTTGGAGAGGGGAAAAACAATAAAGCTTGTGTTTCATAGAAAACGGAAAAGGATGGTCAAGAATATAGTACTTTTAGCAGTGAACTTAAGGGGCAAAATATGAGTAGATTTTCAATATATGTAATGATTTATTAGAGATTAGGAAATGACTCGTCAGCAGTACAAATCTTTGTAATGACCAGGCCATCAGCAGGAAAGGATGGGAAGTTTGTAGAAAATGTGTAGGAAGAAGGAGAGGCATTGAAAGTCCAATCACTTGTGTTTTCCTTTCAGTATATGTGATCACAATACAGAGTCAGAGGACTTGTCATAGTCACAGTACTGTACCAATTTACCTAGAAAATCAGAAACTGCAATATGAACATTATTTTGCACGCAGTTTTCATGTTTCTGGATTGCTAAATTCACGTGTAATTCTCTGCCCTTTGTAAATCTTTTAAAGTCAGAGCTAAAGACCTTGTCTGTGTTTATAAATTCCAAACATCTAGATATTTGATTAGTTCCTGCTCTGATCCATATGCTTTCCTTATGTAAACATAGCTTAAATGCATTTCTGTGGCTTATCTAGTTGTTTTTGAACCCAGGTGGTAGTGATTATAAAAATTAAAATCTCATATTTTCCTATGTATACTTATTCCTTTTACAGTTGAAAAGGGCAGGCAAAAGAATCCCAGAAGTTTGTGTATCCAGACACAGACGTCTCCAGATGTGCTGTCCTCTGAAAAAACACTTGAATTGGCTCAATATAAAACAAAATGTGAAAACCAAAGTGGATTTATCCTGCAGCTCAAGCAGCTTCTGTCCTGTGGTAATATCAAATTTGAAGCATTGACAGTTGTGATTCAGCACCTACTCTCTGAGGTAAGGATGTCTACCCTCGAAAGAGTCTTTTCTCATTGAGGTGAGAGGCGCAGGAGGGGGGCAGTATTCACGCTTTTGTCTTGGGAATACTTTTCAGTTAATGAATGGTAAGAGCAGATATAATTCACCCAATTATGCTTTGTCATCTCACTTGATACCTGAGTCACTCTCTAGAAATTTGGGATTGAAACATTTCTACTACCTTCTTTTTGTTTCCAGAATCACTTAGACCAACAACGGCATAATTGTTATACTTTATACGCCTCCAGCGCATATTAGCATTATCAGTTTTTTAACTTACTTTTTTGTCTAACTGTACACAGCTTTCTGTATTACCTTTAATGCTTTGAAAAATGAGATTGATTATATTTGTGGGTCAAAGAACACTTCTGAGGTAACTCCCAGTATGGGTCTGGGGACTCTGAGAATTTCCGTCCATTCCTAAAATAGTTTGTGGTACAAATGCAAAACAGATTTTCTTTGCTTATTTATTCTTCCCTGACATTCTCCAAGGATGTTAGTTCAGGGACTAGTTAAAATTCATTGAGAAAACCAAGTATCTGTGAACTATGCTACTGGCCTAGCAACAGAAACTGCAATAATCTAAGGGGAAACACTGGGATGAGATCATATTTGAGCTCTTTAGATATTTTTTTGAATATTATTTGACAGAGTGCGCATGCACATGCTTGAGCTGGGGGAAGGAGCAGAGGGAAGGACTCTCAAGCAGACTCCCTGATGAGCAAGGAGCCCAACCCAGGGCTCGATCTCATGACCCTAAGATCATGACCTGAGCTGAAATCAAGAGTCAGAGGCTTAACCCACGGAGCTACCCAGGCTTTTAAAATATTTAAAGTATTTTTAAATCATAGTCTAAAAAGATGGGTATTACATAACATCTCGAGAAGAAAACTGTTCAGTTTGCTTGTTCTGTAGGTCAGTTCAATCCAACCAATGTATGTTCCTTTCCTACAGAAGCTACTGTGATACAGTTACCAGTCTGGGGCAGGGGAGCCAGGCACCTGGTCTGTGCCTTTGCAAGTTACCAAGCTAATAGACAGTTAAGATCAATATTTGATGAACATTTTACAGCTTTGTCCAAAAAATTGCTTTGAGAGGGAGATGGAGACATTTACCTAGTTATTACAGTAGTATGTAGTCCTCCTGTTTCTCTTTAATATGTAAGGAAGGAATTGGAAAGCTGGCTCATATAACCAAGTAAGCTAAATTGGAAACGACATAATATTAAATGTAGGAAACAATTTGTCTGTCTATTTTGTGATAAACCAATTATCTTGCTTTACTATATTAGCCTAACCAGCCTCTCGTTCAATTCCTTCCTCTCCTTTCCCTCCCACATGAGATGAGTCATCAGTGCCGTGAGCCCTCATCCTGCACTGTTGCTGCTCTTCATCCCCTCTTTTCCATTCGTACTGATGCCAGCATTGTTCGGATTCCACATAACTGTCTACTGGATTACGATAACGTCTTAATTAGTCTTTAGGCTTGCACTGTCTTTACTATAATCTACCCCAAGCAGTGCTAACAGATTCATCTTTCCAAAGCATTCCACTCTGCTGATTCAGACCTTCAGTGGTTTCCCCATTGTCTGCAGCTGACCTGTCCAGCATGGTAGCTACTAGCTTTATGAAGCTACCGAGCACTTGAAGTGCCATAAGGCTAAAATAAGATATGCAGACAAGCATTAAAACATACACCTGGATTTCAAAGACAGTATGAAAAAAGGGTGTAAGATACCTTGTGAATAATTTTTCTGCTGACTATATGTTGAAATGATAATATGTTGGATATACTGAGTTAAATAAAACACATTAAAATTTAATCTTTTAAACTTTTAAGAAATGTGGCTACTAGGAAACTAAAATTAGATACATGGCTCACATTATATTTCCTCTGGATGACTCTGGGGTATAACTTGGAGTGTAAGACTCTATAATTTGGCACGAGCTGCCCTTTTAAGCCTCACCTCACTGCCTATCTGCTCCGTATAATTAGTGAGGTAGAGGAGAAGCAAGAGGGATATAATGTGTGTTGAATATTTATGAAGTTCTAGACATTCTTACTTATTAAATCTTGTCCAAAGACACAAGTTGGAATTTACTAGGAAGAAATTGGAGGCATAGAGCTGTTAAAGTGAGGTAGAGGAGAAGCAAGAGGGATATAATGTTTGCTGAATATTTATGAAGTTCTAGACATTCTTATTAAATCTTGTCCAAAGACACAAGTTGGAATTTACTAGGAAGAAATTGGAGGCATAGAGCTGTTAATTAACTTGACTATCAGCAGACAGCTATTTAGAGGAAGACCAGGACTTGAACCTGGGTCTAGGACACTAGGAACTCAAAATCACCTATGAACTTCTTGTGCTTTTTCATCCTTGGTTCAAATACCATTACTGGGCTACTGCCCTTCTCCCTAATACCTACATATTCAGCTCTTAGAGTAGCGTCCCATCACTACCTGTATTTGATTCACATGGATTCATTATACAAACAACCAAGTGGTTGCTTGGTTAATGCAAATTAAATAGAGCAGGCAGGCCTGCCTTCCATGCCCCTCAGTGAGGAAAGGCCCAGGAGGGGATGTGAGAGGAAAGACCAGTTTCAGCTCTTCCTTTGGTTCCTAAATCCCTCACGTGGCATGAACCTTCCACAGTCCGCATGTTTCAAGATACTTTTTTCCCATCTGTCCAGTAACCTGGCCCACAAACACAAACCAAACACTTTTATCAGATGCTCAGTTGGAGAAGGAGTAGATCGAACACTAAAGGAAAAACCTCACTTGATTTGACATACTGACAGATGGTTTCATCAGTCTACAACAGGGCAAACTCTTACTGAGTTTCTGGGATACTTTCACTGTATGTGAATTTCATCTTGCACCTGATTTAGGTTTTAATGCCCAGGTAATTGTGACTCCATTGAATTTCTTAAAATCCAGCTCAAAAACTCCCTCCTTTAGGGGGGCACCTGGGTGGCTCAGTCCATTGAGCATTTGACTCTTGGTTTTGGCTCAGGTCATGATCTCAGGATCATGGATCCAGCCCTGCATCTGGCTCCACGTTTAGCAGGGAGTCTGCTTGAGGATTCTCTCTCTCTGCCCCTCCCCCTGCTTGCACACATACATGCACACATTCTCTCTCTCTCTCCCCCCCTAAAATAAATAAATCTACAAAACAAAACACCTCCCTCTTTTATTTCCTGGTCCTTCTAGCTGTATGTTCTATCTACCTTCTGGATTCTAGGAGCACTTAGATTTCTCTGTCACTCTCTACCTTATATTACAGATAACCATCTTCACTCATTTTGCTTTTTAAGACCAGAAGCTCACTGAGAGCAGGATCTGTGTCTAGTTCTTTCTTAGGAAACCACGCCAGCAGCTATGGCAGGGCTTTATACATAACAGACATGCAGTCTATACCTGAACGAACAAATGCATGGGGAGGATGGAATCCCAGATGTAAAGATGAACATATAAAGTCATTATGTAAATGTTCTTTGCTCTTTATAACCAATCAGCAAATATTTACTGATTGGCTAATGTGTACAGGGCACTGTTATAAAACAGTTAGAAAGGAAAGACATAACCAGGGTGAAAGTTAAGTAATTCTTCAGAACAATTTTCCTCTTAACCCTTTGGTTCTCTCATACCATTATAGAAGTGATTGATTGATGTACAGATAGGTAGATGTAGATGGTAGGTGTAGACCGATCTATATATACATATATATCTCATTGCTAAGTTTTTCTAAATGGTTTTAGAGCATTAGAGTGTGGATAAAAATGATTGATTATAGGGTGCCTGGGTGGCTCAGTCGGTTAAGCGACTGCCTTCGGCTCAGATCATGATCCTGGAGTCCCGGGATCGAGTTCCGCATCGGGCTCCCTGCTCAGCGGGGAGTCTGCTTCTCCCTCTCCCACTCCCCGTTTGTGTTCCCTCTCTCGCTGTGTCTTTCTCTGTCAAATAAATAAATAAAATCTTAAAAAAAAAAAAAAAAGATTGATTATAGGGAATCCTAGAATTATGACTTACCCTTTTGTTGCAAGTCTGTTTAATAATGATAATTCATTATGTATAAGTTCTTTTTTTTTTTAAGATTTTATTTATTTGTGAGAGAGAGAATGAGAGAGAACATGAGAGGGAGGAGGGTCAGAGGGAGAAGCAGACCCCCTGCTGAGCAGGGAGCCCGATGCAGGACTCGATCCCGGGACTCCAGGATCATGACCTGAGCCGAAGGCAGTCGCTTAACCAACTGAGCCACCCAGGCGCCCCTCATTATGTATAAGTTCTAATAAGCATCTCATCAATCTGGAAACTAACACCACACTTTCTCTTTCCCAGAGGACACACTATTGCTAGTTTTAGTTTGTTCCCATTCTTGGTTTATCTTTGCATAGTTGTGCAATGTTCTGTACAAACAGCCAAAGTGAAATCCAACCTAAAGTGGTACCCAAATAAGGTGAATTTGGAAAGACACTAGCAGTCTACTATAAGTAAAAATGTCTCAGAACAAAAAAGAGTGGACGTAATTCATTGTGTGAGTGGTGGGGAGAAGGTCAGAGATACACACATCTGAACCATCGGACATGGCTCTTTTCTGCAAAATCCCCCTGTGCTATTGATGCTTTTCAATAGCTAACAAATTCAGGCCCACTGATGGGACGGCAGCCAGAGACTAAGTGCCTGTATCCCGGGGACTCCTAATTAAATTATAGTGAATCCATTTTTTTCCTTGGAGGACTTCATATATTTAATGCATGCATAGAAAAGCATATTTCTATCCAGATACCCACCTCCCTCTTTTTTTCACATTGTGTGGAATTCTGCTTGTTAAAATACAAAGAGGATTAAATAAACTTGTTATGTAGACTATAAAGAGTTTATCATCTAGGACAGAAACACTGATTTAGGAGCAGGTGAATAAAAAGAAACAGGCAGTCAGTAAGTGACAGAATGTGTTTTTATCATCTACAGGTGAAGGATAGGTATCTTAAAGGATAAGCTCCCAAAGAGAGTCAGGCAGAACCTGACACTATGGTGCGGACACTGTAGTTGGCATTTCACATAGGATTATATATAAAGCCCTTGGTTTTTGCATTATTCTGTACTGCTTCCCCCCAGATGAGGTCATCTGCCTTGAATGATGACTGGAGAATTGAGCATGGACATTTTAGGTCTGTCTAGGTCCCGAGCTTCTTTAAAAAAAAAAAAAAAAGATTTATTTGAGAGAGAGAGAGAACAAGTGGGGGAGAGGGGCAAAAGGAGAGGGAGAGGCAGACTCCCCACTAAACAGGGAGCCCGATCTGGGACTTGATCCCAGGACCCTGAGATCATGACCTGAGCCAAAGGCAGACACTAACCAACTGAGCCACCAAGGCACCCCAGTTCCAAACTTCTTGAAGGCAAGAACCATGCCTTAAATTTCTTTCATGTTTCTCCCAGCATCTGGAATGGTCCTTGATTAGTTGGTACAGAGCAGTCATTTGCCAGTCAATTTAGAAAGATAAATGTCTTCTCCAGGCTTTGGGGGGAAGGAGACGGTAACTATGATTGACATTGAGGTTTATATAACGGGTCAGGTAAAGACCACACATTCCAGATTATGGAGGTGGGACACGCGTGGCAAGTGTGACTTGAACAGAACGAAGAAGGAATTGGGAGTCTAAACAGGAGTGGATGATTGAGGTTCTTGGAACTAGGGTAAAGTTTCTTCTTCATGTACTCCATGGAATATTCTTTTTGAGTGAGGGCATTTCTGTGTACAAAGAAAATGGGACATGAATCTAGCAGCCCTCTGCAAGGTCGTATGAAGGGTTGCTTTCACTACTAGTGCAGGAATGAATTGGTGGAGATCAAGACTGGGGTGGAGGTAGCACTAATAGAAAAAGTGTGATAGATTCAAGGCACATTAGGAAGAACTGACTGACTTTGGAACAACCCATTTAGACAAAGAGTCAAGGATGACCTCACGCCTTTCCTGTCACTGTGTACTCGGAGTGCCCAGATTGGCTTCTGGGCATTGAGTACAGGAAGGTTGAGTGCAGAAGAGTTGGGGGAAATGTTCACATGGACTGAAATTCCTTATCCCCAAAATCTCTTTAAGAAGCCAAGAGATCACGTGGTATGTATTTGTGTTAGGATGTAAACATTTTCACAAAATTACCCCTGGAGACTATATCTCAGCTTAATTTTTCAGTCTTCACTTTTCACATTCGTGAAAGTTTGAAAAGTGATTTAACTTCTTGCCAGCTTTGCCTTCTCCTAACAATTTAACTACTACTGGAAAGTGAATTTTAAGTTCCTGAATATGTTGCAGGATTGCTTATGGGTATAAAGCTGTTTTTTGGTTTACTTGACATTGAGTGACAAAGCTTGCTGATATTTACTTGAACTAGATTGCTAAGCAAACAAAATTAAGGCTTAAGTTCATGAGACCAGGAGAAGCATGTAATATATGTATTTTTATATGCTTTTCTCCCAATTTTAATCCAGGTTGATTTTCCTCAAAGTTTAATTTCTACATTAGAAAACTCATGACTTGTTCATTTTTAAAAACCTGGACTCTCTGATTTATGATTTCAGAACATCTGAAGACTGCACTTTAAAAATCAAGCATTTAGAGTTAATGGCAAAAATGTTCTCAGTGAAGACGTGTTCCTTAAATTGCAGTCATTGTTAACTATCCAATATGACAGTGTTAGCACGTTGTTCATTAACTTCCTCAGCTCTTTAGTGAGAGACCCCACCACAGAGTAAAAAGTAAATGCTTTAGAAGATGTCTGATCTCCAGCTCTCAAATCAGCATTTCACACTTTCCCTTTAAACACCAGTGAACCGTGTTCTAAGCTTTCGGATTAAATTTCGCGGCAAACACCATTCATTTCATTATAATGTCATTTTAAATTGTAAGTCACAAAACACACTTGGATTGTTGTTCACCTAGTTCATAGGCTCCTTTACCATACAGGTTTTTGAGAACAAGTTTTTCTGTTAGTAAGTGTGATAATCTAATGACCTCAATTAAAGAGGGGGACGAAAAAGGCTCACAAATCTAAAAATAACTCCATTATCCCGGCAGAGAAGGTCAGTGTTTCTTTCCACTGTACCAGCTGATATTTAAGTAAGTGGCCATCGATCAGTCTAATGTCTGGCTCTCGTTTTTCATAAATGAAGGGCTGTGGCTTTAAGTAATCGCAGGCTGCTTGTGCCAAAGGCAGAAGCTGCAGAATCCGCTTCTGCCAGGAGAGAGGCGTTCGGTAACCTGCAGGACGTGAAGTAGGGCTAACCGAGGACCAATGGCGCTCCTCCCGGTAGAGCTTTGAATGTAGGCAGACCCGACTGGTGGGTGGTGTGGCCACCTGTGTACTTCTTGGACAGGGCAGGGGGTGGGGACAGTTGGAGACAGAAGCTGGAAAATGGGCTGCTCCAGCAGCAAAATGTGCCTCTATCCTCCATGTGCAGCAACAAGGGTAATTAGTATTTGCTTCTAGTGCATTTCTGGAAGAATGTCAGGGACTGAGGCAGAGGTTGTCTGGAATTGGGGGATGCTTTGAATGACAAGCAGTTCTTGTCTGCAGAAGACTGGGTCTCATGATCTCTGCAATACTGTGATCAGGATGCGGCGGGAGCTCCGTCTTGGGTGATCCTAGTGAGAGCATTTTCAGAAAGCTTTGAATTCTTCCTTTTCCTTAGTTATGCCCTGGTGGTAGGGAATCTACCTTTTAAGAGACTATTGCTATATTTGTGTGTGTGTGTGTGTGTGATTGCTTTGAGTTGCTGGTAACTTGGAAATTGTTCTTTTTTGCAGTATAAATAATAGCTTTTTTGATATGGAAGCAGTTGCCTGATTTTCTTTGATTTGTTTCTCTAACATCTCCTTACAATTATAGCTGATCCCAAATATATAATAATCCTTAGAAAAAATAATGTGGAGCTGAGTAAAATTAGTTTAATTTTGCCTTTTTTTAAAAGGATTATTTTTTGCTGTTGCTTTATAACAAACTTGCATCTTCCTTTTAGAAGGATTGACCTTGTAACAAAACTTTTTTATTTGCAAATACAGGACAAAGTGCATATAAGTGCGTATGTTTAGAACATTAAATATTTATCTTAAACTGATTAGTGCTTTATTGCCCTTGGAGGAGGAGAATGCATTAAGTCTTAAGTATGCATTTGCTGAAAGGTTCTGTGGATCAGCAATGAAGCAGGGCTCAGAGTAAATATTTTTAAAAGTGCCATGCAGTGCCTCAAATGAAAGTTGCACGAGGACCTGAGAAAATAAAGATTTTTGAAATATGAATTTCCTTAACAACTAAGGGACATCTGTGTTTTCTTAACAGCACAAACTGTTAGCCTAAATGATTCCTATCTTGGCATCTCCCTTCTGAGTCTCATTTTCCTAGTGATAACAAATGTGTGTCTTACTGAAAGGGACCCTCTTGAAAACATTAGTAACTTGATGTGTGTTTTCCGCAGCGGGAGGAAGCACTGAAACAACACAAAACCCTATCTCAAGAACTTGTTCACCTTCGAGGAGAGCTAGGTAAGAGCTTTTCTTCGCCCCCCCCCCCCCCCCCCCCCGCCGCAAGTTTTACAGGACGAGGGGACGACTGGAAAATTTGGTTTTCCTATCTGGAGTTGCATGCTGCCAGTGGTTAGCTGTTCCACACTAGTATCTGTGCAAACACTTAACTATCAACGTTTCTTCCAAATCTTGGCAGCTTGACCTCAAGTTCACAGAATTCCTGGCGCTGATCTAAGCCTAGCAGAGCTTCTGATGACCAAAACATTGCTCTCCCTGAAGACAGGGACAGAGTGACTTTTGTAATTGTGTGAGTTCCTGTTAAATAATCCCGTCATATTTTTTTCTGAACCTCTTTCCATATTAAAGAGTGGTGAAAAAAATTCCTGCGCCGATGACAGTAATTACATTACATTCCCTCCGGGCCCTTTGCGAGGAGTGAGTATACAGAAAAGAAGGATGCTGTGCATCCAGGGTAGCCTGTCTGGAGAAGGCATCTTCTGTGCTCACGTTACAGTTTGAACCCGGCTGATGGTGAATAAGGACCCAGTCCCACTGGTAGCCATGTGTCTCTGATGTCTGTAGCACCCACCACCCAGTGCTTCTGTTCCCAGGCTGAGCTCAGTTTTGGTTCTTGTCTCTCCTGGAAGGGTCCTCAGGGTTCATGCAAGAGAGACAATACTGCCTCACTCCTGTGTTGGAGTGAGCCATACCTTGGGATCCCCCTGTCTGCCACGGACACCTCAGCCCCAGAGAATCCGCTTCCTGCTTTAGCTTCAGCCAGGTCTGGAGTTGTTCATTAAAAGGCTCAGTTGCTTGCCCTTTGCAATTTTCTATGTATGCTGACAGCCTCCTCTTACAGTGTGAGTGGCTCTGTGTATAAATGATGCAAAAGCAATAGCCAGAGACGAAGATTGTGTTCATCCAGTTCTAGAAGAAACTGCCCATTTTTCTTTGGACAAGACCAGAATTTTAATATTGTCAATATAGTTTGCTGGACTTGAAGTTTTTCTTCCCCTGCCCCGCCCCCCCCACGAAGGCAAAGATCAAATAGCAGTGAATATGGGGCCTCGGCTTGTCTCTGTGTTCCTCTTCCATCTTCCCCTCTCAACCCCTAAACTCCTGGCTAACCCCCCAGGTTCTTAATACCTAGCCAGGGCATCATTTTCTCCTGACCTTATTTTAGGCTATGGAAATGAAGAACTCTTTATAGAAAAGTAATTTTAGGACAGATGGAACTTCAGGACCGCAAAGACTTGCGGGTTCTAGGGAAACAGTTCAAGGAGACCACAGCTGAGAAACAGGCTTCCAGCTATAGCATTCGAGGCTTTCCACCATGTTAACTAGACTGCTGTCCTTTTGATTACCCAGATGACCAACTTAATTTGCTTTTGTCTGTGCCTTAAATAACGTAATGGATCTAGAGTGAGCAGGTCAGGAAAGAGGCCTTTGTGTGTGTGTTTCGGAGTTCATTACGACCCAGTGGAGGTGGAGATGAGCCTACCTGACGGTTCATATTTCAGCCTCTCCCCAAGATGAGACAGAAACGCCAGCAGAACACTGTGCTCATTCATTGCTGCTTGAATGGGGGATCCTCTTTTTACCTCTTAGCGGAGAGCACAATGAAATGATTCGAATGGGACCCAGGTCCTCAGCACCTCCAGTTGGTCACGTAGCCTGGCAGGAAATAGCCCGCAGTTTGTACCCATTCTCCCCCTTTTCCCTCGGTGATAAGGAGAGTGGGCCCTGGTGTGCTTTCACCGTCGCTGGCCAAATGTCCGGATGCCGCGCTTGGCCTGTGCGTAGCGTTGGTCGCGCAGGTGGGAGCTGGGTGAACCGGAAGCAGAGGACTCTTGTCAGGGGAATGAGTGAGACGATGGTGAGAACGTCAGTCAGCAGAGGGGACACACGGGGAATATGTCCGTGCTCCCGTTGCATGAGGTAGAACTGCTCAAGGAACTATGGAAAGCATTTGGGGAATGGTTCCAGTCCCGTGAGGGGAGAGAAGAGAAGCCTCTACATAGTTCTTCTGATGGAACAGTCCAGGAGGAACACTCCGAAAGCTGCCAGTGGGATTGTTCGTAGCATGAGCTGAGATGGAAGACGACAGGTTGCATAGCAAAGTTGGAAATGGCAGTTTTAAAATGTGACGCAGTAGTGTAGAGTTAGACTGTGTGGTCACACTGTCCAGGTCCAAATCTTCGGTAGCTGGGTGACGTAAAGGCAAGTCACATGACAGGTCTTGAGTCCTGGTTTCATTCTCTGTCAAATGGCACCAATAATTGTCTGCTCAGGGGTGGTTGTGAGGATGACATGAAGTCACTCGCTGTAAAGTGCCTAGCACCACGTGTTAGCTACTACTAAATAGCAGGTGTTCACATGGGTGCAGTTTGCAGCTGTTCTCAAGAAGAGAACTGTTGCTACCATCAGCAGCATCCAAGCATCTACCATTTCTCTCCAAAATAATGGGGGGCTTTTGGTGTCACTCTTCCCCAGGGTACTGTTTCTTTCTCTTCTCTATGAAAATTGAGGCAAGCTTCCCAAACTAAGAACTGCAAAAAATAAATAAATAAATAAAGGACAGCTGAAACTCAGGAGCACTGAAACCCAAGTAGAGTCTGTGATAGTGACCTTCGGAATCTAACTGCCTCCAACCATCTGCTCCGCTGACTGACTTTCCTCTCGCCTCTCCTGGTTACTCTGACAAGTGTCCTCTACTGCCAAGTTCACCTAGCTGAGCTCAGAACAAAACCACGAGGCTCCCCCCCTCCTCCAGGGAGTCCTCAATACTTTACAACCATGTATTTATTATATCTCGTGTTTTCTTGTTGACTTCAGATGGTAAATTGCTTCATTTCAGAGATTCTTTTCTCCTTACTATGGAAAAAATAGATATGTTTTCCATTTTCACAAGTGATTGATAAGTATTTATGGGTATTTCAAGTATTTGAGGGTTGGTTTCTTTTTATTTAAGGACATAGTGCAGAAATTAAAATTGCGAAGTGAGAGGAAAATAGCCCATAGTTCCAGTATCCCTGACAGAGCTCTTATTTTTACATATTCTCTTGTGTCTTTGTTTATATGAATATATATGACTTCATATCTTGACTTTTTTATGAAGGTATGACTTACATACAATGGAGTGCTTACTGACAAACACATATACTCATATGACCTACACCTTTATCAAGGTATTGAAGATCTCTGTCCTCCCAGAAAATCTCCTCATGCTCGTTTCTGGTAGACGACACCGCCCCCCTTCTCTAGAAGCAAACACTGATTTTTATGATGTAGGTTATTTTGTGTATTCTAGAATTTCATAGAAACATACATTATGTTCTTGTTATGTTTGGCTTTTTTCCACACAGCAAAGTGGTTTTGAGATTCATTCATGTTATTTTATGTGTATTCTGATCTGTTTAGCTTGTGTCAAACACTTTTCCATATTGACTCGTAGTCTTCATTATGGTTATGTTGAATGACCTGGGAAAGTCTTAGTGGTTGTTGCTTGATTTCACTCATCCCTTTAGTGTTGGAGTATAGCGAGGGTTTCATTGTCTGCTGTTATCCCATCGATTCCCCTGGCTTCAACTACAACCTATAGGGTGATGATGCACAGATTTATTTTTCTAGTTCTCTCCTTCCCAAGCTGTAGATGTGTTTTGCCCAGTGAAGAGCTGCCTCCAGGAGAGCCAGTCTGGCATAATCAGACCTTTCTGACTCCCCAGCCCCTTGCTTCCTGAACGCTCTGCAGTGTCTCCTCATTCAGACCTCTTTTCCTCAAAGTCTGTTCATCATCTTCTGCAGTGACGTCATCACTCACTCACCACCTAAGCTAACAACAGGTGACACATGCTTTTTCCTCCAACTTCTACATGATAGCAATCTGTGTTCTAAGTATCGCTTGGATCTGTCCCTCCTCAGCCTTCTGGCTACTATTGTTCTAATTCAAGCCCCATAATTGCTCACCCCAAATATATTCCAGTAGTCACCCTACAGGTCACCCTGCTCCAGGCCTGCTTCTGTCCTCCTCACATGCTACCAGGACTGTATTTAAAATAAATCTCACATCTGTACTCTACTGGACATTTTTAACAAACATAAATGACTTCATTTGGGCTTTGGCAAAAAGTCCAAATTACTGTAGCTGCCGTGTATGTTTTGACTGGAACTCTCAGCCCAACTTCAGGATGGCAGGACACTCCTTTGCCTTTCTTCACACTTCTTTCAGCTCCTCACGTCTAGCCATGGGTCCATTCATACCTCTTTGGCACATGATATCCTCTCTGCTTGAAATACTCTCTTCTTTTTTACTGCTTTTCTATTTTTGCCTCCTAAAATCCTCACTAGCTACGATACCTAGCTAAGTCCCAATTAAAATGCCGTATCATCAGTTGAGTTTTACCTAATCTTTCAAGCAAGTTAATCGTGCCTTCTACTGTGCTCTTCAAAAAACTCTGTTTTTAGGGTTGTTTCTAGACCTCCTCTCACAATCCAGAGCCGCGAGCCCTTCAAAGGCGGTATCTCCTTCACGTTTGCAGCTCTACCCACTGATACCTTGTGCCTGGCACTCACTACCTCAGTGAATGAATGACTTTTATATTGAAGATAGTGACTAGGGAAAGTTGGGTTTATCCTTATAATATTCTAATACTCAGTGGTTTTTGTGTACAAATGTTTTCCTACAAACCATTTAAAAATAACATGCATGTTTTTAAGAATGAATAATAATAAAGTAAGGTGAACTATACTTCTCTTGGAAACATTTTACAATTATGTCTGACAATGCCAGTTAGATCATTTTGAAAGTGTTGGCCCTTGAAATAGATGACAATTCAATTTTAATGGTCTGTATCCACAGCAAGCATTTGGCCTCTAAGATGGGGAAATAAGCATATCATTCTGATTTTTTTTAAGAGTTGTGTTGGATCAAAACCAGTATAATAGAGAACCATAATTATGATCTTCAGGGGTTCCTACTGTTTTTTGTTAATGTTAATCACTAGAATTACATTTTTATC